TTTTTTTTAATTGATATTATGTCCATACATTTAAGAAACACCTATTTCCGTCCCAACTATTTCCGTTGCATTTTCCAACCAACCAACCGCCACAGCGGTCGTGAATAGGAGTGTTTGTTGTCTTAGCTAAACTTTCTGAGGGCCTTCGTACTGCCGTTGAAGAAATGTACATATGACCTACAAACCATACAGTCTTCAGTACAATGTCGTTGACTCACACCTGCAAAAAATAGGAACCAAATCAGACCATAAATACGGGTTTTCCAAATATATCGACACTTTCTTGAGATATTCTTTTTAATGCAGGAAAAACATATCGTGGTAAAATATATTGTGGAGTGGTTTCCTTCCCTACAGGTGATATACCTTCCAAATATGCACAAAATTGTAGTATAAATACAGGGTTTTCAATATCTGGACTTCTGTGCCACCTAGCGGATTAATTCATCTTCTTCAAGCCTCTAGCTCATGGCGCAGTTAAAAATTGATTTCAAGATTTGACCCCAACAAACATACATACAAAGTAAGTAAAATAAAAGCTTGTAAAATAGTTTATGCTCCAATAAATAAAAGATTATTTAATCAGTCAATTGGCTAAACAAATTTAATAAAAAATATCTGATGTTTTTGCTCCTAGCCATTTATTTTAATAAACATAATAAAGGTCTATGTTGCTACGGCTATCCAGCTAATTTATAATTTTTATACCTTTCATGAGCATGAAATGGTATTATAACTTTGGTCCGATGTTTGTAAGTACCAGAACAAAAAGAGATAGACCCATGAAAATGTATACTTATATGATCAGAACGTCGAGCTGAGTTGATTTAGCCATGTCCGTCTGTCCGTCTGTCTGTCTGTTTGTATGCAATCTAGTCTCTCAGTTTTCGAGATATCCGGATCAAATTTGGTAGGTGGGTGTACTTTTATAGTGTATTTATCATTTGTCGGAACCGGAAGAATCGGACCACTATAACATATAGCTCCCATACAACTGATTGTTCAGATATGAGATTTTTCATTATAACTTCTCCATTTATGCAGCTACGAACATGAAATTTTGCAATACTTGCACCCATTATCAACAGAATACTTACAGTGAAAATTACAAAGATCGGGTCACTATAACCTATAGCTCCCATACAACTGATTGTTCAGATATATAATTTTGCGTTATAACTCCTCCATTTATATAGCTAGCAACATGAAATTCCGCACTGTTTTCAATAATTATCAACAGAAAACTTACAGTGAAAATTAAAAAGATCGGGTAACTATAACCTATAGCTCCCATACAACTGATTGTTCAGATATGAGATTTTTCGTTATAATTCATCCATTTCTGTAGCTAGGACCATGAAATTTCGCGCTGTTTTCACTCATTATCAAC